CCCCTATTTTAATGTTTTGGAAAAGATCTGATACTTTTACCTCTGAAGGAGGACCGTTAAATACTTTGATGCTTGGGAAGCTAGTTCTCTAGTCATAGGCTTTGGATGAGTGAAGGAATTTATTTTCTGTGGCTGTGCCAGATTTGGGGAAGGTTTGTAAAGACTTACATCTGGAAATAGACTTTTTCCTCGTTCGTTCTCCATTGAGAATCTGGTGAGGTGCAGTGAGAGACTTCAATATTTTCTTACTCTTTGTAGAGAGTAATTTATCGTTCAGACCTGCTGTTGATCTCGTCTCTTTTGGAAGAACTGACATACTCTGTACCGCAGTTATCTCTGCATCTATGACGTGTATTCTCAAGGCCACTATCACAGAGAAACGCGTTGATTTAGAAGCTGGTGTTTCAAAGCTGATTTTTGGTCTTCACGCCACGGGCATGTGTAAGCTTGATTAAACTTAAAGCGATTTCCTGGGCCCTGTCGCTATCAATATTTGCTCACCTGTGCAGGTGAAAAAGGAAAGATGTTTAATGTTAAGGCTTTGGTCTCTTAGTGTAAATTGATATTCAGAAATTTTGTCATGGAACATTTACTTCTTTGCTTGATCATTTTCCTAATTCTGGGCATCTAGAATGTCTAGAATCTGAAATGTTGTTTTAGCCTACCAATATAGAACTTTGGAGCCTTCGTTTAGTGGAATGGGACTTCATCTTGCTCCAGGCGAAACGTTCCGAATCGGGTGTTGTTGCCACTGGTGTGGGCGTGTGGCCGATGCTGAGGAACTAACAAGGCGGCCGCAGCTGGTCAGTGCTGAGCTGAAGGAGAGGTTTTGCCTTCTGTGTTTGGGCATTTTTAGAGACCTTTGAATTTTACAAAGTTGTGTATCCGTTGTGAGAAAATTTAATAAATGTTTGGCAAGCTCTTGGAGTCTGTATTTGAAATTCAATTATTCTGCTGTCATTTTCCTTAAATATTCCTTCATTTTAGCTTTGATTATAGAGAAAGCACTGACTCTGCTATTTTGTAACCTTATATTAAAATTGGAATTCAGTCATCAGCCTTTATAAATTTACTTAAACCAAGTGTAATGCTAATTGTGATGTGCTATTGTTACCCGATTTGAATCTCTGCGTTCTGTTGAGGTTATTTATCACCAAATAGTCCTAACAAAAATCATGTTTATTCAGATAGGGCACTAACTGCCAAGTTTCTGTCACTGTGCAACCCCATTGTGAATGAAAGAAAATCGAACCCCACTCTTTGAATGTAGTTAAGGGTCCAAGAGTGAGTTAACATTTATACATTGGTTGCTTGATGCCTAATATTATAATATTATCTGGTATATATCCTGGGGTAAGGGAAGCTGGAGTAAAAGAAACACAGCAGTTCCCAGGGTAACGTTCCTGTGCTCCTGTGTCACTCGTTGGTTCCATTTCCCTCATTTCATCCGTCCTTTGAGTCATTAATTGCTGCTTGGAGCAGTTTCAGTTCTTTACTACTGATTTTTTTCTTTTCTTTTTTTTTTTTGCTATAGCAATGTATTTGAAAAGCTCCTAAATTTAGTTTCAGGATTGAAAAGACAGCTGAAAGTGAAAAACAAACAAAGCCTGTGGCTTGTTGAAGTGATAACCAAGTCGTGTTTTCTACCATGATCTTATGCCACTCGCTTACTTTTACAAGTTTTATGTATAAAAATCTTTGTTTATTAAGTGTTTTTGTTCCTTGTCTATAGTTTTTGTGTGTTTCCAAAAATAGTATAATATGCTGACTCATCTTTATGTCTACATTTTTTGGCAAAAGATTCTTAGAGGGTTTTGTTGCTATTGTTGTTAAATTGTATACATTTCACAGAATTTCACACTGTTCTCATTGGTTTTCTGCCTTTCAGAGTCGACCTTTCTAATGTGTTAGATCTCCATGCCTTTGACGGTCTCTCGGGAATAAGGTGTGTTCTCTACATTGTGGTCACTTTTATTGTAATAAATCTTTCGTTCCACAGCTATAGGACTAATTTACACAGGTGTCCACTTGATTTACTCTTCTGCCATTCCCTTAGCATATAGGACCGTTTTAAACATTTTGTTATTTGGTCGTTTGGAAGTCAAAGTGTGTTTGCCTATAGAAATTATAGTATAAATCATTGTTAATTCAGAGGCTAATTGTTAACACTTCCATGCCAACCGCGTGCCATACTCTTTCTGTGGAAAAATGCACCAAGTAGGCAGGAAGCTTGAACTTGAGATATTCACGCGAACACCTTCTTTCCTCGGAGTTATGGGTTCGACACCTGCCTCTTTCTCGGGGGCATCTTTTTGACATGACGGGAGAGAGGTGAGTTACTCCTGGACAGCAAGCAGTAGCTGTCTGAGCCTCACCTCTGTGTCCACAGGACGACCAATGGGGCCCCTCTTGGGGTATTTTGAATGGGTGAGGCCCTTCCACTTAAGGCTGCGAGCGGTGGATGGTTCTTATCCGAGACTCCTAAAGCGCGTTCAGATGCACAGCTTAGTCTGTCTGAGCCCGGCCTTTAAAAACTAATGCTGTTCGTGTTTTTTCCTCTTCTTTAGTATTGTTCACATTTGAAGTAGGACCTACAGTAGCTATAAAGATGGGTAGTCATGGTGTTGTATTGAGTCTCTTCCACCTTGTAAATTTGAAAATGTGAATTCACGTTTAGGTTGTAAAAAAAACAAAACCATAGTTTGAGATTTTTTCGGTTGGTCCGTGTGTGGGAAGGCGGGGGAAGCTAACACCTCCTCCACAGTTTGGAAACCGACTCGGAGAGCTAACTTGGGAGTGGTACAGACATTCTCGCAGTCCCGTCTTTTTCTCTGTTAAGCGCTCTTTATTCTACCTGCAGCCTCTGGTCTTGGGCCAGCCCCTTCTTAGAGAAAACGAATAACAGGTTAAAATTACAAAGAGTTCTGGGGTACCTGGGCAAAGTTAGCATTTGTCTTTCTGGTTCCAGTTAGTCGGAGGGCAGGAGAGTTTGGTATACCTGAATTACATGGGACGCGACTCCTCTTTGTTTTGTTTTGTTTTTTAATTCCCCTAAATTATATAAAAGTCAAAGTGCCTGTTTCTTGCTTTACAGCAGAAATTGTTGTACTCTGATCGGGCGCTCTTGTACAGGGTTGTGAAATCTCCCTCAGCACCCTGAATCCTTTTCTCTGACTTCTCTGACTGGGTACCCAGTATTGTGTGCTTGATGATGACTGAATGTGTGGTAGTAAACTCATTCAGAACTATACCAAGTATTTTCAACCGAAGACACAAGGAGACACTAACGGACCACATGAACCAGAGCCCCCACCAGCCTGAGCCCAGATGAACTAGATGGTGCCCGGCTACCACTACCGACGACTCTGACAGGGATCACAACAGAGAGCCCTGGACAGAGTGGGAGAAAAATGTAGAACAAAATTCAAATTCACAAAAAAGGACCAGACTTACTGGTCTGACAGAGACTGGAGGAACTCCCAAGACTATGACCCCCAGACACTGTGCTAACTCCCAAAGCCCACTTTTCAGACAGCGATTAGACAGGCCTATAGAACAAACAGTAACACATGTGAGGAATGTGCTTCTTAGTTCAGTCAATTATACGAGACCAAATGGGCAACTTCTAACCAAAAGCAAGACGAGAAGGTAGGAAGGGAGAGGAACTGGACAAGTGGACACAAGGAACCCAGGGTGGAAAGGGGGAGCATACTGTCACATTGTGGGGATTGCGATCAAGTCACAAAGCAATCTGTGAATAAATTTTTGAATGAGAAACTAACTTGTATAAACTTTCACCTAAAGCATGAAAAAATTAACAACAGCAACACTACTGTAGTTGAAAGCTCTAATCTCCACTTCATTTCGTGAAAGGTTAAAAACGTATACATGTTAACGAGAAAAAACTACACCAAATGTTTTCATATGAAGATTTTTCATTTCAAATTTCAAAGGAAAGACTTCTCCCCCACTGAACAGCTATGGCCTTAAATGTAAACTTGGCTTGGTCATTTATAAAGGGACTTCTCCCCCGCCTTAGTTCTGACTTTTCTAGGGAGATCAGCTGAGGTTGTCACCTAATTCTAGGGGCTGCTGGGAGCATACGAAAGAGCCTCTGTCTCTTATCACCCATTTCTGAAGTAACCTGAAGTCCAGCCCTTCCTAATCTACCCTGCTGTTCCTTCTTCTTACTCCAAGACTCTAATACATTTTATTTAAGTATTTAGTGCTTTTTCAGTAGTTAACCCTTCTTTCTTTCTCTCACTTTCCACATCTGGCTTAGAACCATATTATTATTTTATGGGCAGTTTCGATGGTTATAGATCCTGTGATACATTTGAATATGTTTACAGGGGGGAAAATTTTAAAAATACTGCTAGATGTTTGCCTTTCTTAAACTAATTTATCTTCGTTGGGTCTAACTAAGAGCTTGGAAACTTGGCTGTATTTAATATGTGTTGCTGCTGTTGTTATGTGCCATTGAGTCAGTTCCGACTCATAGTGACCCTGTAGGACAGAGTAGAACTGCCCCGTAGGGTTTCCAAGGAGCTGCTGGTGTATTTAACTGCCAGCCTTTTGGTTAGCAGCCAAGCTCTTAACCACTATGCCACTGGGGCACTTAAATATTTCTTAGTTAAAATCCTTGTTTTTCCCCTTCATAAAAGTTTTATTCCTATTTTTTGACTTAAAAAAGAGAGCTCGGTTTATAGTATGAAATGCCTTCCAACTTTGATATACAGCACATCTTCAAGGTTTTGTTTTGTCCTTTCTACTGTCAATACTTTTGCTGTAATTTGCTGTAATAAAGGTACTTTTTTCAAAGCACCCAACTCTTACATTATTCTGTATTTGTAGTTGGGAAAAGTAGGAAAGGATGCCAGTCCCATGTTACTGTGAGAAAAATTAAATTATTGTTTTGATACGGCGTAACGGGTTATACCCAGGACACTGCGGTGCTCTGAGTCTGAATCGACTAGATGGCGCACAGCAACAGCAGTGCAGTATAGACTTACGCGCTGTGTGAGTGTGCACACCCCGGGGTTACAAGATGGCAGAACGGGCCAAGTCAGGATTCTGATTCGTGAATTCGGGGTTTAGTTATCGTAAGCTTGCCCCTGAACTAGATCACGCTTCCCTTTATTTGTGTGATTGAGGGCAGAGAATTCTGAGACTCACTGTAAACCAGACTTAAATGTTGGTTGTGAAATGTTTGACTTTTCGCTTTCCTAGGACGTTTAGGCCTATGGTTTGTCTAAAGCAATCCCATTCCCCACGTGCTTCCGAGTATCATAATGCATTAGTGACACGTCAGAAGTGGCTGTTCAATGTGTTCCCACCCTCTGGGTACAGCCTTTGCATAACTCTCCTTTGTGCTTCCAGCTGAGAGGAGACTCCCCAGCACCAGCTAGGAAGGATTTAACTTACCATTCTCCCCAGCAAGGCCCCCCAGCGAGCCCCCCTCCCTCCAGTAGTTCCTACAAGCCCCTACTCTTTCCTACTGACGCTACTAATTTACCCCTCAAGGCTCTTCAAGGCAAAACATCTGCAAGGTTTGAAGCCCCGTTCCCCCTCCCATCCTCCCCCCACCATGTGTAAACATGTGATACAGTTATTATGGGCATAACTGGTTATGCCATCCTGATCTTCTTGCACTTCCCATGTCAGTGCAAGGCGTTGTCGAAATTCTGACCTTTTGTTCTCTCATAGCCAGTAACTAACGCTATAGAGGGCTTACATTCAGGGGATAACATTGATAAAAGAAAGTTTACCATTCTAATCTTTTTTTGAAGCATCCTTCATTGTTTTCATTTTAGGCAGCATGGGGAGAGTTGATAAAATCTTCATATTAAAATGCTTGTGTTTTTTTTCTAAGTTGGCATTGGACTTACTGGAATTAAAAAAAAAAAATCTACTGGCATATTTAGCCACATAAAGTCGTGTTGCTGAAAGGTTAGTTTTCCTCTGTCTTGTGTGTATAAGGTACGTGTGTACTTTTTTTTAGGAAATCTTTTTAAATATCTAGTCTGGCAGCTTTCCTCTATTAGAACACCTGAGCAACATGTGAAATTGGAATGATGGAAGGTCTCCCCTTGTTTTGTGTTGTGTTTCTAAGTCATGAGTAAGGTTAAGTCAGAAGTGCGTCGACCTCTGAACTTAATAATCCGTTGTTCTCAGTTTGCAGAAAAAACTTCAGTATGTGTCGGCAACCCAGCCTCACCTTGATCAGGTAAAAAGCATTTAAAAACTTTTTTTTTTTATTTTTCTTGAATTAAGTTGGCTATGTTTACAATGCTTTATTAAAACTCTTTCTAAAAATGCGTTTTTGAACTATGTTGTTCAGAATTTTGAATGCTTTTAAGATCATCTGATCTGTCTCTTATCATATGATAGGAATCCATCAAACCAAAGTGGTCTGGATAGATACGGAGTTTTGGTGTTGTTTGTAGTGATTGCCTCAATGAAGAAAGAAAATAATGTCATTTTGTCTAAATGCATGCTAGTACCTTAAGCTTATAAAAACAAATAGTTTAAGAGCAGAGTACACCTACTTCTCACTTACCAACTATCTCATTGTCTGACGTTCTGCATTTTACAATAGTAAACAAGTCTACTCTCTGACTATTTTGTGTATTAATGACGTGCATCTGGCAGTAACAAACGTTGATTTGGGAAGTGAGAGTAACGCTGGCTGTGATGGTTAAAGTTATGTGTCAGCTTTGCTGGGCCATGATTCTCAGTGGTTTGGCAGTTATATAATGATGTGATTTGGCAGTTGTGTAATGATGTAGTCGTCCTCCATTTTGTGGTCTGATGTGATGAGCCTTCATTTTCACTAACACCGATTTTTGCATAGCAACCAGGTCTTCGGGGCCTAACCATGTCAGTAAGGGAGGAGTGGGTGTATGCTTACTAAGATTTTAAAATAAATACTTCTAGTCATCGGACATTTTAAAGTCCAAGTTGAGACTTCTTTTTAGTTGGCTTACACTTCTGATACCTGAGCAAGAAAACACTGTGCTTTTCCTTTTTCTAGCAGCAGTGTAGACCAAATACATTTTGTGCCAAAATTGGCCTTTGATACTTGCCTTTATCTGTTCTCTAAGTACATTTGATGAAAAGCAGTTCTGGTCTTTTTGTATTTTCTATCATGTTATGCTGCTCCCTGTGTGTTTTCATCACGAAGGCCGAAATTTTGGGTTACAGCTGCAAATGAGGTTTGGGTTTTATGTGACCTGTCAGAGGACATAGTCAGTGTCTGGTTCTTTAGAGTGGAGAGTGAGATGTTTATCAAGATCAGGAGGAGCAATAACCTCCACCTTAATCGTTTGTAAAAAGCAAAGATGGCGTTGTTGCTGTCATTCTCGTCTCCGGGACTCCTCTTCCTCGGCACAGGCTCAGCCAGTTACGGTAAACTGACCCTTTCTTTTCTGTTTGTTTTTCCGAGAGAACAGAATTATGCCTTTGATTTCAGGGTTTATTCCTGGCTCTGGGTAGTTGGTTTTTCTGAGCCTCCCCCCCTCCAGTTTATATACTGGAAGCAGTCATCTGTACCCTACAGGATCATTGAGAAGAGCAAATTGAAAGCTGAGATGAGGGGACCGTGTGAACGTGCTGGCTCAGCAGATAGCCGTACGTGTTACCTCCCCGCGGGTTTAGTGTCCTGTGTAAAAACTGAACCATTGATTAAGTCTGCAGAACGTAGAAATGGAGCTGTTGATGCCCGACTCAGCAGACACGGTGGAAAAAGATAACACAGTACCTGTTGTCAGGCAACACAAACTGTCATGTGCCCCTTACTTGTCAGCTTAAAACTTGTAATTTAAAAACATCTGTTGAGGTTACTGTAAAAAAAAAATCATCATGTCTCTTGGTTTACAGAATATTATTACAGTCACATTTGAAGCACCAGGAAATGCAAAGGAAGAAAGTCTAAATGTATTTATTCAGGTGAATGCCATTTGTAACCCGTTAAAGATAAGCTGACTGTTTCATTACATGGTTATCGCCATGAGTAGTGGCTGGTCTTATTAAATGATGCTGCTTGACACAGAATCTGCTGTGGGAGAAGAATGTGAGAAACAAGGACGGTCACTGCATGGAGGTCATCCGACTGAAGGTGGGTATACCTTTACACAGTTGTGTACTGTTGGGCAAAGAAAGCCCTTCTCTTGGGCTCTATAAACCAGATTTGGTTTTCTATCCCCTGAAGTCTTCTTGGAGGCATGGTGCCTCAGTGGTTAAGAGCTCAGGCTGCTAAGCAGAAGGTGAGCAGTTCAAATCCACAAGCTGCTCCTTGGAAACCGTATGGGGTAGTTCTGCTCTGACCCATAGGGTTGCTCTGAGTCGGAATTGACTTGACAACAGTGATTTGGTTTTGGTTTTTGGAGGTCTTCTTAAAACCAAACAGTAGTTTAGCTTAACTAGTAAAAAATGTCTACCTTAAGCATTGTGCTCTTTTAAGAACTATCTGTATGGGATCAAGTTGACAACAGCAACAACTGTTGAATTGGTGTACATCTCTGTCCCCTGGTCCTCCCTGGCAGACATGTCTCGTCTTTGCTGTGTATTCCCAACAACAGCAACAAAACAAACAACAAAAACCCCCACCATATCTGGTTTGAAACAGAAGCACTGGTTTTAGTACAGATGCCCCTTGTCTGTTTTCATTTTTCTTTATCATCCCCATGGCTGAAGAGGAGCTTTGGAAATCACTGCATGAACCAGGGTTGATTGGCACAGTTGCATTTAGTGCTGAGTTCGAGCAGCCTGTGGGCTTTGACACGTCACCCCTGTTCTCCACTCCTGGTTTGTGCGCGGTTATCTGGCTGGTGAACTCGACTCTTGAACCTCTTCCCCTTGGCCCATGCTTGGCCAGTTAGAGAAAGCCAAGCCTTCCTCGAGTTTAGTTTTCCAAGACAGTTTCAATAACAGAGAAATAATACTAGAGGTCGTGCTGCACCTGAACTTTATCTTTTGTTTCTTGATGCACGTAACAAACACTAAACATTTGTCATACTCTGAACAAGTTGTGGAAGACTAGAAGAATTCTTGCTTAGTGTTTGGAAGACCATTCACTTTACTGGACATTTTTGGCACCAAAGGTGTTTTTCCACGGGCAGCAGTTGGTGGTTGTGTGCTTAACTAATCAACAGTCACTTGAGTGCCCACTCTGGTGTGCCCAGAAGGTGCACGAAGTTTTATTATCACTGTTTATTGTTAGTAGTAATTGGATCCTCTCTCTGGCTAGCAACAGATTTCCTGGTGTCCCTAGAATGACAGAGATTGAGACTGTTGAGAAAGGTTTTGGGGTTAGATTTCTTCACCCGCCTGCTGGCGCTTGTGTGATTGGCTCTGCAGAGCCACCTGGTGAGTCCTGTCCCCTCCCAGATCGTGCCCCCAGAGGACTAAGCCAGCTCCTGCTGCTGCTTGATGACAGTAGCTCCATCTCCCTTCCCTGGTCCTCCCTGGCAGACATGTCTCATCCTGTGGCTGCTTTTCTCCCCTAGTACCGAGTGGGGGGCGTTTACACTATGCTCCCTGCACAGAGTTCAGCGGCTCCTCCTGGCCATCCCATTGTGGCTGTTGTCCTTAGGCTTGTGACAGTTCTTTGGTGGTTGTCCTCTTTGGTTCCTCCACTGGCCTTCCTGTCTCCACAGGGACAGGGGGTTCTGGAACTAAACAGTCTCCCTTCCTAGCATTTCTTCTCTGTCCCGCTACAAAGTATCATCAATCCTCTGATCATCAGCCTGCTTACAACGTTGACCCCAGTAGCACCTAATGCTCCAGAGTCTTTATACAAGCAACACAAAATTGATGCTTAAAGAATTATTTCCAAAGACTTTGTTATTGTATAGTAAAATTCACATCTAAAAAGCAGACAACAAAACTGGGCAAGGGAAAGAAAAACTGGAAGGAAACACACCAAAATTTTAACAGGGGTCATCCTTGTGTGGTATCGATGACTTCATAGTCATCTTCTTTCTGTTTTTTAACGTACATCTTAATTTTATAACAAATACGTATAAGAAATGTTATTTTAGAGAAATTAATTTCATCCCTATTGGAGCCAGTTTATCAGATAATTTGCTTCTCATTCCTGCAAATCAATGCAGAATCAACTTCTATGCAGAGAAGTATCATGGTTTTTCATTTTATTGTAGCCCATTTTAAAAACAGTTTAACCATAGCCAAAATCTTTCACAATCTCAGATTTTCCCACAAAAACTGTGAAACGTGTCAAATATTACTAGTGGGAGAATAGTCAGTAGAACCAGATACATGACACGTTTTGTCATTTTGTTCTTTCCATTTTTTGTTGTGATCGCTAACACTGAGAACACCCTAGTGCATGTATTAATTTTATAATTAGAAACTACTGTGCACTAAAACCTTTTAAAAAGTTGGCCTCCAAGTTTTAAGAATATTTCTTTAATGCACAGATAATTGGAATTAAGTAACATTAGCATCGTCTTCTTTATGAATTTGTGTTTTAAAAAGGAATAAGAATAACAGTCAACAATTACTTTAAAACAAAGATGAGAATGTAAGGGGAGCAGGAAACTAGATTAATGAAAACAGAACAACCAGAATGAAAATATTGAGAGTATTCACAAATTGTGAAGAATATAACCAGTATCAGTAAATACTTTGTGTAGAAATTGTTGATTGGGAACCTAAACTGCTGTGTAAACCTTCACCGAAAACGCAATGAAGTATTATTTAAAAAAAACAAAACCCTATGGAGCACAGCTCTACTCTGACGCAGATGGGGTCTCCGGGAGTTGGAGTCAACTTGACAGCAACTGTGTTTTTCTTCCCCTTGACATGTTGATTATAAATGTTTTTCAATTTGAAAAGAGAAAAGGAATAGGAATAATTAATCCATTAACATTGATGCTGTATTTCTGCTTTTAAATGAAAACTGAGGCCGATTGACCCTTCTCTTGGAGCAGGGGCTGGTGTCCATCAAAGACAGAGCACAGCAAGTGATCGTCCAGGGTGTGCATGAGCTCTATGACCTGGAGGAGACCCCCGTGAGCTGGGACGATGACGCCCAGAGGACAAACCGACTGGTCTTTATCGGTAGGTTACAAAGGGTTAACCTTAAAGCGAGGGGAAAACCACTTACGTGTGCTACTTAGGCAGTCGGAACCGTTGGAACCCCATTGGTAGACCTCAGTAAGCTGGTGATGACTGTCCTTGTTTTAGTCACGTGATAGCATTCGTAAGCACGTTAGACCTTTTCCTTTTTCTCAGACAGATTTAGAAAAGCAATTTATCCAAGTGCCAGTTTGGTTCCGAGAGCTTCAACTCAGAAGTTAAGGAAGGAATCACTCGGTTACCATGTGTGTGTAAATGTATGAAGATCATTAAACATTCAGTGACCTGGAATTGGTAGGTAAACTCTGTCAATTTAATCAGTATAAAGTAATCCTGTTTTGTTCTGTTTGCAGGCAAGAATTTAGATAAGGATGTCCTTAAACAGCTATTTATGGCGACGGTGACAGAGACAGGAAAGCAGCGGACAACACATAGCAAGGAAGGTCAAGTTTGTCCATGACAGCAGAAGCTTTTCTTACAAAAGGGTTGGAAGATAATAAACAGGAATGTGTTTCCAGCTGGGTGTCATCCAGGCATCTGTTTGCATTCATTACTTCTGTTATAAATCCAGTGTGCTATTTTAGGTGTTTGGCTTATAGACTAGGCCACGTACAGTCAGTTAGTACAGTGAAACATTGGACATTCACGCCGAGAAATGTAACATTTCGGAAGTGTTTTTTGTTTGTTTTATTTTAGAACAGGTGTTTCACAAAAATCATCTTCCAGAATTGGCTTTGGAGTTCACATATGCTAAATTCCTCACTTGTGGAAGTTATTTATAATCATAATGATGAAACTCACCTCAATGTTGTCCTTTTCACTTAGAACTTGAGCTGATTGCAGATACAATGATTATATGGTTATTAATAAAACTTTTTCACATGATTAGATAATGTCATCATTTGTATTAAATGCAATAAAAAGGTGGTTGTGGCTAGAAGCTTGCTAAGCGGAAGAAACTTTCGTGAGTCAGAGAGTTAGCTTGAATTATCTTTTGGTCATTGCATATACTCGGCATAAGGGAGCTTCAGCCATTCCTTTTGTGCTATATTCAGGACGTTCCAATTCTAGAGCTTTTAAGTGAATTTTATTACTGGTACTAAATTCATCTTGGTGTTTCTGAACTGCTTTAATTTTCAATATCTTAAAAAAATGATGGTACAAGACATCAGATATAACTGCAGATAATTTTTGAGAGTTGAACAATCCTTATAAATGGTTGGGGTTTAAGTACACAATTTCTCCTTTTCTCCTGTTCCTTTTGAAAGCCAGGTCAGTGTAAGTACACTCAGATGGTAACCGGAAAAGGGTTGGAGTAAATTTAAAGATGAGCTTGTCCAAGTTAATGGCTTGTTAAGTAACAGATAAGGCTATCAAAATGGCTTTCGGAATTTCTTTTTCAGAATTTTAAATAAAGGAGCTACATCTGTGTATCTTGAGTGGTTCCAGTGCTTGGTGGCAGAAGGCTGTTGGATTAAATTAACTCAGGTAGGTTCTGTGTTTAATCTGTAGGGTCTGCCAGCGAGGTTGCTGGTCCTGCTTTCCCTTCCCCTGCCTTATGTGTTTCCTATCTGTAACTCCTCTGTCCTCATCCAGTTGCCTGCTGACCCCATTCTTTCCCTTCTCAACATCACGATTGAGAGAACAAGCTTATTTTGTGGTGCAACATTGCCCAGTAGAAAAGTGCTGAATTTTGAGTCAGTCTGGGCTTTAATAGCAGCTTTGCTCCTTCTTGGCTGTGTAGTCTCGGGTGAAGTATGTGCTCTGAGATTGGTTTCTTTATTTGTGAAGTGGATGGTGAGGACTGAGCAGTTTTGTAATGTGCCCACCTCAGCTGCTAGCACACAGGAGACCCTAGAACATTGCTTCCTTCCTAAGAATTTAAATTTGCTTTATTCAGTAAAACTCCGGTGGCACAGTGGTTAAAAGTGCTGGATTGCTAACTGAAAGGGTGGTGGTTTGAAACTGCCAGTTGCTCCGCGTAAGAAAGATGTGGCAGTCTGCCTCCGTAGAGATTTACAGCCTTGGAAACCCTGTGGGGTCACTGTGAGTTGGAATCAACTTGACGGCAGTGGGTTTTTTGGTTTTAATTCAGTAAAACCTGCGAAAGCTGGAACGTGTATAAGGCAGAAACGTGTCAGAGAAGGAAGACTAAAAATATTTTTCACTGAAATGAGCAATAGAAAAACTGCACCCTGTCAATGGCGGAAAACTTGTGAAATCCAGAAAAACAAGGCTGTCCCATCAAGTTCCGGCTCTCATACGTTTCACTGTAATTAATGTGGTCACAATGATACTTAATAATGTTGTTTGGCAAAATAATAAGTATCTGGGTCCCTCTGTTCTAAACCATGAGAAAGGGCTTATAGGTAATTGTCTTGTTGGGAGAAATGTTTAAAATACTATTAGGCTAAACTCTCTATAAACCTCATAAATACTTGCCTTGTCTTTAAAAATGTATTAAATTCACCTTTATCTTTCGTTACACAAGTATCACATGAATACACTTGTGTTGTAGAAGTGCAGACATTACAGATGAAGTTGGTCTCCCTCAACCCTTCTCCTTCAGTCCCTGTCACTTCTTAGCAGTAAGCTGCTGTTGTCAGTTCACTGTCTATCCTTTTAGACGTTCCATTTGCACACACATTTACACACCATAAGGTTTACATTATGTTTCCTGAAGTGAATTATTTTCCAATGATCGGAGTCATCGTTCGACTTGCTGTCTCGGGAAACTTTCGAACTTGCCATAGATATCAAGAGAAGCCTTGAAATGCAAAAAATAACCTGGGCCATTCTTGTGCGGTGTTGCTAGAGAAGACTTGCAAGGTATTAAAAAAAAAGAAGACGAAGAAACAAGGTTTAGGCATGCTTTAACTAAAACTTTACTGAGTGATAGTGTCTTAGGCTGGGTTGTCTAGAAGCAAAACCAGTAAAGTGTATGAATATATATATATAGAGAGAGATTTATATCAAGGAAACAGCTCACGTGATTGCAGAGGCTAGAATGTCCCAAGTCCATGGATCAGGGTAGAGGCCTCTCCAAATTCATGCAGCTGCAGAAGCTGGCAAGCCCAAGATCAGCAAGTCAAAGAGCAGGGCTCCTGCTCAGGCTGTGAAGGTCGACGAATTCCAAGACCGGCAGGCAAGACAGCAAGGTTTCTCCTGATTCACGTAGCTGCAGGGGCTGGCGAACCCAAGATCAGCAGGTCAGAGAGCAGGGCTCCTCTCACAGGCTGTGAAGATGGACGAATCCCAAGTTTGGCAGATAAGCTGACAGCTCAAGTCCCAAGAACCGGAGTCAGATGACAGGCGGCTCCTGTAGGATCCTGCATGAGCAAAAAACCAGATCGTCTGCTTATATTCAGATACAGGCCACACCCCCAAGGAAACTCCCTTTCATCTGATTGGCTACTCACAGCATAATTCAGTCATGGGAGTGATCACATATAAACACTGAGAATCATGGCCCAGCCAAGTTGACACACAATCTTAACCATCAGATAGAGGGCAGATTACTAAATCTCTCCGCTTCCTAACTCGTAAGATAGAGACAACAAGGCAGATCTCTGTGGGGCGCTCCAGGGATTATGTTTACAGCACCCTGGACACTGAGTCCCAGTAAATGCTCGCTCCACTTTTCCAGCAGGACTTGACATGAAACTCAAGCTTCTGCACACCTTATGAGAACAAATGGCCCTTTCCTCTGTGAGCGAAAGGAGCGAGACAGTGGGTACCGAGTGGGAGATGGCTGTGTGTCAGCGGAGATTGAGGGAGGATGGGGAGATGGAAAGGGGCAGCTTGGTGACAGAGCGCCCCCTCAGCTGCTCTCAGTACCGTGCGAGCTGGGAAACACCCTCCGAGTGACCCTGCTCCTTTCCTTGTCTGTCTCCCAAGGAGACTCGGAAACCCCGTTAGAATAACAAACTCTTTGTCATCGAGTCAATTCTGACTCCTAACGACCCTATAGGACAGAGTAGAACTGCCCCATAGCGTTTCCAAGGAGCAGCTGGTGGATTTGAACTGCTGACCTTCTGGTTAGCAGCCATAGCTCTTAACCACTGCGCCGCGAGGGCTCCTGTGGGTGTTTAATTATCTTCCCTTCTTGCTCTCCAGGGTTCTTTTTTTGGTGGTTTGCTGCAACCAGAAATAGAGCATTTTGATTTTTTAAAAGTGTAGACTCATTCATGGGTTAAAGTTGAGAATAAGCAAAATAATTTTCTTCCCAAGGTCTGTAATCCTTGAAAGGAGTTATCAACAAAATCAGACTAAAAGATTTTAAGGCAACAATAATCAAAATGTAACATTTATGGGCTTGGTTGCCCTCTACGTATTCAATAATTGTTTCCTTCGGATTACTTGTGTAGGGGGAAGGCTTTTTAACTGCTTTACAGTGACTTTCCCTGATGTAGAAATGCCGTACACTGGGGGGTGAGGCTCGAAGAAGTGAACTTTCCTAGCAGCTTGCCCTACTTTTCTGAGAAAGACATACTAGATTTCATTTCTCAGAATTAGTCTTCACAGTAGAGTCAGCCTTACCTCTTACTGCTGTTGATGACCAAAAACTAGATGGTGTCTTGTGAGTCCCTGATAGGTCTGCTGAGAACAACCTGTCTGGTGTGGTGATTGTTAGGTGCCGTTGAGTGGATTCCCGCTCATAGCGACCCCAGGTACCCTTCAGAACAAAAAACTGCCCAGTCCTGCGCCATCCTCACAATCATCGTTATACTTGAGCTCATTGTTGCAGCCACTGTGTCATTCCATCTCGTTGAGCATCTGCCTCTTTTTCGCTGACCCTCTCCTTTACCAAGTGTCTTAGTCATCTATTGCTGCTATAACAGAAATACCACAAGTGGATGGTTTTAACAAAGAGAAGTTTATTTCCTCACCGTCAGAGTAGGCTAAAAGTCCAAATTCAGGGCATCAGCTCCAGGGGAAGGCTTTTTCTCTCTGTCGGCCTTCTTCTCTTCAGTGTTCCCCCAGACTAGGAGCTTCTCTGCACAGGGACCCCGGTCCAAAGGATGCACTCTGCTCCTGGCACTGCTTTCTTGATGATATGAGGTCCCCAACTCTCTGCTTGCTTCCCTTTCCCTTTATCTCTTGAGAGATAAAAGGTGGTGCAGGCCACACCCCACAGAAACTCCCCCTTTGCATTGGATCAGGGATGTGACCTGGGTAAAGGTGGTATTACAATCCCACCCTAACATAAAATTACAATCACAAAATGGAGGCCAACCACACAATTCTGGGACTCATGGCCCAGCCAAATGGATACATTTTTGGGGGGACATAATTCAAACCATGACACCAAGCATGATGTCCTTCTCCAGGAACTGGTCCCACCTGATAACGTTCCCTGAAGTCTCACCGTTCTTGCTTTCAAGGAGCATTCTAGTTGTACTTCTTCCAAGACAGATTTGTTTGTTCTTTTGGCAGTCCATGGTGTATTCAATATTCTTTGCCAACACCACAATTCAAAGGCGTCAGTTCTTCAGTCTTCCTTATTCATCGTCCAACTTTTGCATGCATATATTTAAAAAAAAAAACAAACCCGTTGCTGTCGAGTCGATTCCAACTCATAGCGACCCTATAGGGCAGCGTAGAACTGCCCCATAGAGTTTCCAAGGAGTGCCTGGTGGATTCAAACTGCCAACCTTTTGGTTAGCAGACGTAGCTCTTAACCACTTTGCCGGCAGGGTTTCCATCATGTGCATATGAGGCAGTTGAAAACATCATGGCTTGGGTCAGGTGCACCTTAGTCTTTAAGGTGACATCTTTGCTTTTTAACACTTTCAGAAGTCTTTTGCAGCAGATTTGCCCAATGCAGTGCGTTAATTTATTGACTGCTGCTTCCATGGGTGTTGATTTTGAATCCAGGTAAGATGAAATTCTTAACAACTTCATTCTTTTGTCTGTGTATCATGATGTTCCTTACTGGTCCAGTTGTGAGGGCTGTTGTTTTTATGTTGTGGTAATCCATACTGAACATTGGGGTCTTTGATCTTCATCAGTAAGTGCTTCAAGTCCTCTTTACTTTCAGCAAGCAAGGTTGTGTCATCTGCATATCACAGGTTGTTAATGAGTCTTCCTCCAATCCTAATACCGTGTTCTTCTTCATATAGTCCAGTTTCTCGGATTATTTGCCCAGCATACAGATTGAATAAGTATGGTGAAAAGATACAGCCCTGACATACACCTTTTCTGACTTTAAACCATCCAGTATCCTCTTGTTCTGTTTGAATGACTGCCTCTTGATCCATGTACAGGTTCCTCATGAGCACAATTAAGTGTTCTGGAATTCCCATTCTTTGCAAAGTTATCCATAATTTGTTATGATCCACACAGTTGAATGCCTTTGCATAGTCAATAAAACACAGTAAACATCTTTCTGGTATTCTCTGCTTTCAGCCACGATCCATCTGACGTCAGCAATGATATCCCTGGTTCCTTGTCCTCTTAATCCAGCTTGAGTTTCTTATCCGGCATTA